GAAGGCACATAAAGTATCATAAGCAGACTGTGAGAGGAGAGAAAAAGGAGCAAACATTCATTCCTAAAAATATATTCAAAGGTCAGCTACTGAAACATATACGTATCTAACAAAGGATAGTGCTGATTCACACTCAGTGTGACCTCACTGGTACACATATTGTGGCCACTTGCAAGGGGTTTTTAAAATGCACATGAGCCCACAGAAAGTGGATATACTGACAAGGTGCAATAGCCAATGTGAAAGCTTTGCTGAAAGGCAGATCCCTCTAAATTTGAGGCACTAGAAATATGCAAAAGGAGATGAACATGGCCAACATGGCCTGCTTCTGAACTTCCTTGAAGTATCTGTCTGGCTGACACAAGAAAAGAAAATGTGCTTGCCAGGGCAATTAATCAGAACCAGTATAGAAAGGGCAGATAGTCATACCACATCTCTCCTACACACAGGCTGTTCTGACCATCCTGGGGCAAATTCTTGAGTGGAGAAAGATCCTGTGCAAAGCAGGAACACATAGATCAAGGGTGGCCAGACTTGCTTAACATAACAGCCACACAGAATAAACGTCAGATGTTTGAGAGCCGCAAGACATCTCCCTTATACATAAAAGCTGAATGGTGGTGGCACTTCTCTAGAACATTCCACACGCTCCGGAATTGGTTGGCGCCCTGGTGTCTCACTCAGAATCTGTCCCTATCCACTGGCTGCATTCCTTGAGTCTCGCCTCCAACATTCTAAACAGTTTGCTGTTCCCCTACCCCCCATAGCCAGTCAGAACACAGAGGTCGTCTGCATATGTGACTTGATTGGCTTTTGCCTCTAACATTCTAAACAGTTTGCTGCTCTGAGGTAAAATGTGTCTGATCTCCAGGTGAGGGCTGGAGATCACTCAGAATTACAACTGCTTTCCAGATGGCAGAGATCAGTTCCCCTGGAGAAAATGGTGGGCTCTGTATCCTTATATGCTGCTGAGGTGGCCCCCGTATGACAACCAATGTGACGTAGCAGTCAGGGCTTCAGAGCACGGGAGAGGCTGCAGGTGTGTGGGAGGTGGAAAGCTGAAGAGTGAGGGGGAAATAAAGGTAGGTTGATGATTGGCTGGGAAGGAGATAGGGTTGCCAACTCCAGGTGGGAAATTCCTGGAGATGTGAGGGATGGAGCCTGGAGAGGGTGAGGTTTCAGGAGGCATGGGACCTCAGACAGGTACAAAGCCATAGACTCCACCCTCCAAACCAACCATTCCCTTCTGGGGAACCATCGTTGCCAATCTCCAGGTGAGGGCTAGAGATCACTCAAAATTACAACTGTTCTTTAGGTAGCAGAGATCAGTTCCTCTGGAGAAAATGGTGGACTCAGTGTTATTACTGTGTTTCCCTGAAAATAAGACACTGTCTTATATTTATTTTTTCTAAAGAAGACACACTAGGGCTTATACCACAAATGCATAGAAATCCTGCTAGGGCTTATTTTTGGGGTAGGTCTTATTTTCAGGGAAACAGGGTATACCCTGCTGAGGTCGCCACAGCAAATTGACACTGAGTATCCAAGGCCGGAGCACCCACCCAGAGCCTCTTTCTAGAGGCTGTTGTATTTATTTCCACAATGGGCCTTTTTCCTAGTAAACAAATATTACACGTTTTACTGTGAAATATGCAAATTTGCTTTTCATTAATATTAAATGAGACTGCCAAAAATAATAACAAAAGTAGTAAAATCAGATATTGATAATGATATTTATTTGTCCAATAATATTTGTTCGCTAATGATATTTAGCTTCCCCAGCCACCCTGCCGGGATCCGCAGAATATGTGTGAAAGAGACGCATGCGGCTCCCAAGCCACAGTTTGGCCACCCTTGACATAGATATTACCAGGTAGCACTCCTATAATTGTAACAACTACAAGTTACCCTGCCATGTCTACAGAAATTGCTGGTGGCTGTATCCATGAATTGAGCATTTACAAAATACACTTCTGCACAGGAAGCTGTGCATGGTCAGAGACAGGACTGTCCTGCTTGCATGTAGAAGAGTACAGCATGAAGCAGTCTTGCAATTTAATACTGATTGATGACATAAAAAAGGGTTATGTAAACGATATATAAGCTGCAAGGGTCTATTTTTTCAGTTTCACAGAACAGTGGTAACAAGTAAACTCCTCTTAAATTCCAACCTGCCTTTTCGTTTTCATCATACGAATTCTAGCCAATGACTCATTCAACCACTTTGAGTCACAGTAATTGATACTTCCAAGTATTTAGTCAAACATCCAGTGGCTTCCTCAGACTAAGAAGGCATGGAGACCTTCCTATAAGTCACTGGTACCCAACCTTTTTGGTATGGTGACCCACAAGTCCAAATTTACTTGGTATGGTAACCCATCCAAGGCTGGCCCAGGTTTTTTGGTACCCTAGGCAAACTATGACCTTGGCACCCATCTAGACCACCATTCCATTTTCTACAGTGACTAACAAGATATTTTTGAGAAACAAAGGGTGCAGCTGCCACCACTATGAACTCAAAGTAAATGGCATTCCAATATACCCAAGCTTTGTATATGGAGGTTACATTCCAGCTTTTGACCTCTCCTTTTCCATTCCTTCTAATCCCCCCTATGATTCTAAGAAACTCCCTCTAGTAACCATCAGAACATGCTTTACTTGCTCAACATGTATATGCAGTGAAGGAAAAAAACCCCATCTAATATATGACATGGAACATATTATTTCCAGGGTCAGATATTGGTTTCCAAAATACAGAGGAGGAAAGGGCAGGGGCAGCCAGTAGGGATGGCTGGCCCACAACCCACTTTCAGAGGCATCGCAGCCCACTACTGAGTCCTGACTCACAGGTTTGGAAACACTGCTGTAACCAAGAACACTTTGCCCCAAACTTGGGGCAAAACACCATTTTGTTATACGGGGACAAGAAGAAAGAATGGCTCAAAATGAGAACTGCAATCAGTACTAGCACCCTTGTCATCTATCCAAGAGACCTGTAAGAACACCTTACTATGAAAATGGAAGACAGGCTAGCCATATTAAAAAACAAGCAGCAAGTCCCTTCTTTGAGTATATGAGCACCCACAAAACAAAGCTATGCTAGAAAGTTTGTTCAAATCATTTGCGGCTATAACCACCATTAGAACTACATCCTTGCTCAGCAACCCAGATCCCTGGGCTTTCCTATGCATGATCTTGTTTTAGTAACTCAGGTCCTCTGTTTCTGGTATTGCAGAAACAACCACCTAAGGCCGAAGAGCATCTTAAAAATTAATCTCTCAGAAACCAGTTTAACTCCCATGTTTTGTTGCCAGTAATATGTTTCTTAATTTTGAGCAAGAGCCACTACCTTATCTGACCAGGATTTTAAAACAGCTGGAGTCATTACAGTCACACATTATGCACCACAAGCTTTATTACAGATAACAGACCAGGCTGAAAGGAGAGAATAATATTGGGAGTAGGTGTTTGTATTATCCTCTTAGGACTCTAAATGAAGCCACACAACCAAATCTAACTGGCATGATGCATATGTTAAAAAAACCCTACACATCAGCATGCACACAGTGCAGTTATTCTTCCTCTACATACCACCTCCAAATCCATACTCCTTAATTTTACTAGATGCCTCTTATTTCAAAAGGCAGCCTCTGTTTCAGTTCCTTCTGTTCTTTCTCAAAACCCCATAAACACTCCCACAGCTACACTGTGCTTCATTTCTGAAATTCTGATCTCAGCACGCTACACTCACCCGATGAGTAATCCTCCTACTCACATTCTCCCCCCCCCTCCAGCATTCCCGCAACAATTCCATCCCATTCTTCTTCCTCATATTGGTTCACCTCATGATTGTTACACTCACCACAAGCACCTTACAGGCTATGTGGCAAGTTCCCCCGCTCATAAGTTATAACAACTGCTCCCTTGCCATGTGACCTGCTAAGCCCCTACTGCCCATCACATGAGATGTCCCCTCAGCACCGCTCTCATCTCTAGGCAGGCCAATGCATCTCTCCCCCATAAGACACTCTGCAGATAATCCTGGGCATACACACATCCCACCACAAGCCCTTCTCCACAATCAAACAGCGGCCTGCCCCCCACACACACACTCCTCACCCCCAAAAGATGCCTCTGACATCACAAGATCAAGGTCAGGCTATGCAACCTCCACAGTCACGTTTCGGGTCAGGACAAGGTTAAGAAAGGCGCCCTGTCAGATCAGACCAAGGATCCACCTAGCACCGCATCCTGTTTACCCACATGCCTCTGGGAGGCCTTGCCCATCCTCCTCCTCCCGCAACTGGTCTTTGCAGGTACAGTGTTCCTAACCACGGAAGTTCCACAGATCCACCATGGTCCACAGGCACGGCTATGTGTTCAGGGTTTTTTGGGGTGTGAGGGTGTAAGGAGGGGAATGAAATGGAATGAAATAAATAAATAATAAGGGGGGGGAATGAAAAGCTGTCTAAGCCAGTGACTGCCCCCACATCCTATAGCAGCAAAACCCACGAATGAACTATGCATTGTGCTAGACTCCTCCGCCCCCCGGGGGGGGGGGGGGCTTTTTTTTATTTCACTCCCGTATTGTTGGTATCACGTATGGACGGGGTTTGGGGGGGGGGGTAGAGGACCCAAATCTCCGCCCCACAGGCACACCCACTAGGGTTGCCAGGTCCATCCCGGCCACCGGCGGGGGATTTTTGGGGGGGCAGGGTTGCCAGATCCAGGTTGGGAGACTTCTGACGATTTGGTGATGGAGCCTGAGGAGGACGGGGACCTCGGTGGGATGCAACCCCCGTAAGAGTCCACCCTCCGAAGCGTCCATTTTCTCCAGGGGAACCTGCGTAGTCTGGAGATGAGCTGTAATTCCGGGGGGGTCCCCAGGTCCCACCTGGAGGCGGGCGCCCCCGACCACCCCCACGCGAGGTCTCTACACCGGCCCGTCAGCACCTCCATCCCGCCGCCTCCCCACGCCCCGTCCCCACCCGGCCACTCACCCCTTGTAGTACGCCTTGACTCGGACCTGAGTCGGCATCGCCCCCCCCCCTCCTCCCCGCCGCTTCGCCTCGCTTACTCCGGCGGCCCCGCCCGCTGGCGTGGCCAGCCCCACCCCGCCCCCGCCGAGCCGCGGAAGAGGAGAGAAGAAAATACCGCGGTGTGTCTGTGTGGGAATAATTTTTTTAAAAAGCGAGCTCCTGCGCACGCTCGCCGCCTCGCGCCCCAAAGGGAGCCGTTAAACGGACGAGAACGAACCGCCGCTCGCGCAACCTAGCCCCGCCTGCGAGCCACCGTGTGTGTGTGTTGTATGCGCGTGAGAGAAAGAAAAAGGGAGGGAAGAGAAGAGACTCGCTCCTCCCCCTCCTCCCTTCCTTCACGCAGCGTATCAAACGCCTGGGAAGGAAGGAGGCGAGGGAATGTGGGACAAACCACTTCCAAGAATGTAGGGTGAGGTCAAGACAATGAGGTTGTTTCGTGGGGAGGAAATTCCGAATGAAACCGCAGGAGGGGATTAAGACCTAAGAGTATACGTTGTACCTGTTAAACCAGACCGAAACACACCTTTCCGATAAGTCATAAAAGTGCCAACCGATTTACCATTCTTTCAGTTTCCACCCTTTTCTCAGCTGGATTGATATCAGTTGAGTGGACTGTACCACTGCATACCGAAAGGGACGCGGAAAAGGAACAAAGGGATCAACTTATTTTAAAATTAGTTGGCTTAAGTACGAGACGCCTAACACCACAGCCTTCTGCCCAAAGTTTACATAGGGAAACCAAAGCATGCGCTGAGCATCCTCTTATATACACAGAGTACACGCCACCTCATCCGTTGAGCGAGATTACTACAACTCCCAGAAAGCAATGCCTCAGAGACTTTTGGGTAATGTAGTTTCCAAACCGAGTAAACGGGTTCTCCAAGCTCCTCAGCCTTCCGTGATGCCCGAACTTGCAGCGAATAGTGCCTTGATCGTGGTGCTTTTAGGGTTCAGCGGGTATTTATTACGACTGGGGCTGTGATACGTATAGGCCGTACAACATTAACAATGTGATTGAAGAATAATTCAATGGGTAGCCGTGTTGGTCTGAAGCCCAGTGGCACCTTTAAGACCAACAAAGCTTTCGTGTGCAAAGTACACTTTTTCAAACAAATTGGAATAACATTTTCGCAAAGGCTACTTACAGGGGGAAAAGAGGGTGGCGGCAGCCGTTAGAAGGGGCCACTCAGAGCCAAAATGCATATGCAGAGTTGAAGTTGGATCAGGTGAACGGTAAAATCAATGGACGACAGCAAATTAGCACTTAAATACAAGAGTTAACAAAAAGATGTAAGAATGAAGCTAGAGTCCAGCGGTACCCCCAAGACAAACCAAGCTCAACTCTGTGTACCTGCAAGAACAGAGATTCAGGGTGTGCACACTTCTTAATATACATTGAAACAGACTTTGTCAAATATTATATGCAGGTGGGGGGGTTAGTTGCCAGGAAGAGCTGATTAGAGTCAAGATGCATAAGTAACTGAGCAATAAATATAGCTAAGACTGGAATAACACATATAGTAGGACATTTTCATTGATTTCTATTTTTCATTGACATGTAAATAGCAGCAAATTGGCATACAGATAATAAAGGAGTTAACAACAGGTGTGAGAACGAAGTTTGAGTCCAGTGGCCTCTGTAAGACTAACAACAAGTTTAATTTCTGGGTATAAGAAAGAACAGAATGATTTAGCATTGTGGACAGATAAGCCAATATCTCTGTTAAGCTCTGGAGGTTCCATAGTCCTGAGTGTTGTAATAACTTGTAATTCAGCAAGCTCCCATTCCAGCTACTTTGAGGTCACTCACTGAATGTAATTCTTGATGTCAGATTTGGTGTAGTAGATGTTGTTAGGTCCAGTGATTGTGTTGTCTGGGTGTATGTGGCAGCAAAGTTGGCATCTGGATTTGTTGCAAGTTCTGGTACCAGTGTCCATGTTTAAATTAGATGTTGTATTATTGTGGGTGAGAAGTTGTTTGAGACTGGGGGGGCTATCTATGTGCTAGAAAAGGTTTGCCCCCCAGTACTAGTGAAAGAGAACTGTCATTATCCAGTAGAAGTTGTACGTTGCAGATGATACATTGAACTGTTTTGAGTTGAGAGCTGTATGTGTTCACTAGTGGTGTTCTGTTATTGTCTCTTTTGACCCAGTCTTACAACAGGTTTTCTCTGGGTTATAGTAAAGTTATAGTAAAGTCTGGGTGTTATAATAGACTGGAAAGAGACAGTCTGGCTTTGTTAATATGTTTCTTCACTTCATCAGGTGGCTACTTTAGTTCCAAAAAGGTTTGTTGTAAATCCCTCAAGCGAGAATCTCTGTCTGTGGGATTAGAGCAGATGCAGCTGTAGTGTAGAGCCTGGCTATATACAATGGATCATTTGGTATGTTTAGGATAGTGGCTGGAGGCATGTAGGTATGTTTGTCAGCCAGTAGGTTTCCGGTATAAAGTGGTGTTTATGCATCCATTGTGTATTCTTACAGTAGTGTCCAGAAAGTGTATTTCTTGCATAGATTGGTTCATTGTCAGGTTGACAGTGGGGTGAAAGTTGCTGTATGCCTGGTGGAATATGTCCAAGGCTTCTTTACCATGTGTCCAGACAATAAAAATGTCATCAATATATTGCAGGTATAAAAGAGGTGAGAGTGGGTGGGAGTTTAGGAAGTGTTGCTCCAAGTCATCTATAAATATGTTAGGATATTGTGGGGCTATGCGAGTGCCCATGGCTGTGTACCATTGATCTATAGATACAAGTTGTCACCAAGTTTAAAGTGGTTATGGTGAGAACAAAGTGGCACAGTTTGGTGGCAAAGTCAGCTGTGGTGCTATCAGAAAATCATATTCTTTATGGTTTGCAATCCATCTTTGTATGGAATGTATATTTAGGTAAAATCTCTCTTTAACTCTCCTCCAGATCTTTATTAGGGCTCCTCTAATTATATGATTATGGAAATTTGAATGGATTTTATCTTTATCATACCATATGTAGGCATGCCAGCCCATATGTAGGTCATGGCCCTCTAGATATAGCAGTCTTTTATCTTCTAACAGTAACCAATCCCTAATCCAACCCATAACTGAGGCTTGGTAATAAAGGGACCAATTTGGTACACTGAGGCCACCTCTTTCTTTTTTATCTTGAAGAAGTTTCAATTTAATGCGTGCTTTTTTGGAGTGCCATATAAATTTTCTTACATATTGATCCAATTCCAAGAAAAATTTATTCTTTTTTAAAATTGGTATGTTCTGTGCCAGAAATAGGAAACGTGGAAGGATGTTCTTTTTAATAGTGGCAATTCTACCCATAAATGATAGGTGTAAATCATGCCATTTCTGTAAATCTTTCTTGATATCTTCTAATAATTTCTTGTAATTATTTTCAAATAGGTTACTATTTTACTTGAAAGGGTGATGCCAAGATATTTGTTGATTACCTCTATATTAGATTGAGACTGGATCTTGTTTATCAAATCCTGAGAGCAGTTTTTTGTCAAGATCTTGGGTTTTTTGAAATTTATTTTAAGTCCTGCTATCAAGCCATATTCTTGTATTACATTAAGCAGGTATGGTGTAGACATTATTGGATCTTCCAAAATGAATACTAGATCATCAGCAAAAGCTTGAAGTTTAAATTCCTCTCTTTTAGTTTTAAGACCTCTTATGTTCCAATTTTCTCTTACCAAGTCATTTAATGTCTCTATTACAAAGATAAATAATAATGGTGAAAGCAGACATCCTTGTCGAGTTCCTTTTTAAATAGGTATATTCTGAGTTAAATCTCCATTAACTATTATTTTTGAAAATTGTTCTTTATATAGAGACATTATCATCATCATAAAATTATTGCCACAATCCCGTCTCCAATTTGTATCTCAAGAATTCCCAAGTTACATTGTCAAAGGCTTTCTCTGCATCGAGAAAAACTAGTGCTAATTGTCTTCCAGGATGTTGTTCATAGTATTCTAAAATATTTCAAATAGTTCTTAAATTATTTTTAATCTGTCTCTTCTGGAGAAAGCCAGATTGGTCTTGGTGTATAAGAGCAGGATCTTTCCTGACCTCCTCGGGCAATCCATTCCACAAGGCCAGAGCTATAAGGGAGAAAGCACACATCAGGGCAAGTAGCTCACTCAGGGCCGGCCCCAGGTTTTTTTGCACACTAGGTGAGGATACCTTCTGGCGCCCCCCCCTGCGCCCCCCAATTTTCAAACATAAATGCATTTTAGGAAGAATGAACAACACAAAATCTGAATGGTTGTGGTCGGTGGGGCTGAGAGAGCTCTTTCGAGGACTGCCCTTGAGAGAACAGCTCTGAGAGAACTTGTGACTGAGCCAAGGCCACACCAGCAGCTGCATGTGGAGGAGGAGTGGGGGAATCCAACCCAGGTCACCCAGATTAGAGTCTGCGCTCCTAACCACTAATTCCTGGGGGTGGGAAGGCCAGTGGCTCCTGCTCCTCCAAGAGGAGGACGGCTGCGCTTCTGAGTGCACTGAAAGACCCGGTGGCATGTGGCAGTCACTCACCAGGTCAAGAAAGTTGCAGGGCTCTTAGTGGGGGGGGGCTTTTGGTGGGGGGGCCGGGTGCCAGTTTGGTGCCCCTAAAGGCCGGCGCGCTCTAGGCAAGCGCCTAGTTCGCCTAGTGAGCGAGCCGGCTCTGAGCTCACTTTGCCAATCTGCAGATTGCAGCTGCAGAAATCCCTGCTCAGATGAGAGAAGCTGTCACAAGAATTGTCCTTCCAGGACAAAAAAAGTGCAGATCCAAAAATGCAAGTCCTTCAAATTTTGTTAGCAAAGTGTTTATTTATGCAAAGTGTTTACTCCATCCTGTAGCATTACTAACCTAAGCTCATTAGGTAACTTTTGGAACTACCTTATACTGAATAACACTACTGGTCCATTGACGTCAGTATTGCCTGTTCTATTCAGGCCGGCAGTGGCTCTTCAAGGCCCAGGCAGAGGTCTTTCACATCACCTGCTGTAAGGGTCTCTTTACTGGAGATAACTGAGTTTGAACCTGGACTTTCTGCATGCCAGGCAGATGCTCTACAGCTGGCTTCTCTAGAAACCCACTCTCCGTTACTTAGCCCCGGACCGAGGACCATTCCTACACCATCCGCTGCCCATTCGCCAGTGTGTTTACCATTGCGCTATCGCTAAAAGAAATTACGGGTGAGGGGACTTTCCTGATAAGCCTTGTCAAAGGTACGAATAAGGGCGGCGATGCAAAAAAATAAATAAAAATTCAGTGTGGTATAATTCTTAATGTAAGACAGAGGACCGTTATTGGAACAAACATCGGTAGATGCATAAAGTGTGAACACCAATGGTGAACGACACGAATCTGGGGTTTCCAACCTCTATTATAGAAGATGCCACCTTCCGCACAAGAGGCTAGCGGAAACCCTCCCCCCCCCAACCTGGGGTTGAGTCACGTGAGCACCCCGGGCGGTCAGTCCCGTCCGAGAGGCGCATGCGCGGTGCCTCCCTGTGAGGGAGGTGAGAACATGGCGGAAGCGGAGTGAGGGCTTCGTACGCCAAGCGGGTGCGTCTCTCTTCCTCTGTGGTGGAGGTTGGGTGAGTGGCGCGGAGGCGCGGGGCGGCTCGAGGGCTCTGCGCGCGCGGAGGCGGTTTTCCTCAGGCGCCGGAGGGCGGCAGGCCTGTAGGGGGAAAAGAGCCCCTCGTTGGGCTTCGCCAGGTGATGGATCAGGCGCTGGGCCCAGGCAGAAGTTAAGCGGCAGTGGCTTCTTCGTTAGCGCGGAGAAAAACAGGGGTGCGCGGGCGGGTGCCAGTGCGGGAACTGCACCTGTTGAATTTCTGCCAGCCGCGGATTTATGTAAACGGCTGCCTTGCTCTGGTGCCAAGGAAGGACGCTCCCGCCTTTGGAGCCCTGCCGTGGCCAGCTCAGCTTAAGCAGGCGTGTGGCTGTCACGGGCATTTCTCCCTTCAGGGACATGTGCGATTACTCCCTGTGGGTTGTATACCACTTGTTGGGCGGGCAAGACTTCTTTTCCCTCCAAACGATTAGATAAATACAAGTGTGACAGGTAGAAATCCAATAGGTGAGGCTTGTCTCCCATATGTCAACAGGTGTGCACTCACTGTCTCTGTTTTATCTGACCATGCGGGGGGGGGGGGCGGGATTGTGCCCTGGTTGTGTGGCAGAAAAGTGGATGTATAAATAAATGAAGCTGCAGCTGTATAAGTTCTGCCTCTCCTGTTTTGTTTACTTAAATCACTTCCAACTCTGTTTTTCTCACCATGTGCTCTTTTAAAAAAGATAATGCATATTTGAAAAAAGGCATAAATCCTTGATGAAAATAAATTTTTTTAAACAAAATCATCACAAGGAATGGATAATTCAGCAGCCAAAATCCTATCAGGTATGGAAAAAAGGAAACCTTGCAGCCCCTTCAGAATGCCAGGAGGGAAGAACAGCTCCTGATCCTCTGTACAGAGATGGCATGAGGCCCAGTGCAGTGCTGGCTGCTGGAGTTAATGTATCATTTCTCTTAAATGAGGGACCATAACATGACTGAAAGTGAACTGTCTGTGTTCATTTGCAAGAGAATTAAAGCCATATTAATTATTTTAATGGCTGGTCCTCCTAGAAGAGAGCAGTTAGCTCATGTATATGTGTCTCTTTGCATCTCTTTTAAGGAATAAGGAATGCTTTGCCAGATTAGAAAAATCTTACTGCCAAATACCTGATCTACCCAGTTCCTGGAGAGAGATGATGGTCATTTAGCATTTTGATTCTCCCCCCCCCCCTTTTTTTTCTCTGGATGGTGAACACATGCACCTTGATACTGATGCCCTGGAGGTTTAAAAACCTTTCTTACCTAGATGCCTACTTCACTGCATTGCTTAAACAGTGGTTATAGGGGTTGATGTAGTTGTAGTCTATGATCTGGGAACTGAAATTTTTGCTCTGTTAATTTCATTTTGTATGCCCATCTTGATTAATAGTGGAATGTCACTCTTTGCTTGTTATGACCAGTTGCCTTCTTGCTGCTCTGAAATAATTTACTTAGATATATCCTCCTCAGACCTGGAGATGGATGACATTTCCTTTCCATTCTCTTTCCTGTTTTACAAATATAGAACAGCATGTGAAAGACTGAGATGTCTATTCTGCTTTACTGGGACAACTCCTAGGGCAAAATCCAGAATACTGTGTCACATTAGGGAGGGGCTGTAGCTCAGTGAGAGAGCATCTGCTTGGCATGCAGAAGGTCCCAGGTTCAATCCCTGGCGTTTCCACTTCAAAACAGTCAAGCAGTAGGTGATGTGGAAGACCTCTGTCAGAGACCCTGGAGAGCTGCTGCCAGTCTTCATAGACAATACTGACCTTGATGGACCAATGGTCTGATTCAGCATAAGGCAGCTTCATATGTTCACTGAACTGTGTGTCTTCAGATTCAGAGCACCGTGATATGCAATTCTTGTTTTCATTTCTCACCAGGTGGAAGGATCATTCCACAGCTATGGAGAATGAACCAAGCACAACAGCATCTTCCACATGCACAACCACCATCACCACCACATCATCCCCTTCTCGTACACAGCCGCCTCAGATATCTGTCTACAGTGGTGCAGATCGACATGCTGTACAGGTATTTGATAGCCGATAAAATGGGAAATTTACCCTCTGGTGGCATTTTCAGAAACCTACATTCTGCATCAAGGGCTTGCAGGCCTCTATAAAATACTCTGCTGCCAGTACTCTAATAAAGTCTGATTTTGGATATGGAGGCTGGTGTTCGGTCACAGAGGTGCAAGGAGGACAGTAGTTTCTATAGTGCGTTCAGCATTTTGCCTAGAGCAACTTGGATGCCAGTAGTAATTGTCCCAGGGTTGTGGTGTAGTTCTTAGAAAAAGGTATAGTTCTCTGATGGTGGCAACTTCAGTACAAATCTCTATTTTTTTGCCATAGTAATGATGTTGCTGAACTGTCCACAGGTTATTATTTTTTTAAAAGATCTTATTTTTTTACAAAGACAAACATCACAACGACCAAACAGACAAATATATAACACAAATACATAACTGTGGGGGTTCAGTTACATCATCAGTTTACATGCTTGAACATACCATATTTGTTTTCCATGTTCCACCTTATTTTCTTAGAAAGTTCTTTTGCATACTTTTAAGTATCAGTTTTTATAATCGATGAAAGGTTGTATGTCTGTATACTTTATTATATTCTTCAGTTCATTTCAAAATCTAAAACCATGTAATTTCATACACAAGCATTTACATAGGTATCTAAATAATAGGGGATTTCATTACCTCATCAGATAAATACCTCAAAAATTGTTTTTCAAATTTCACCTTATATTCTTACAATAATCTTTCATATATATTTAAAAAAATAACATTTTTATACTCTATTAGTATATTTTCTAATGTTTCAACTCTCATAGTTTTGAACAGCTGTATGATATTTATACCATTCAGACCTTTATAAAATCTTGAGGGACTGTGTTTTCTCCCTTATAAAAAAATCAAAAAATCGATGATTATGTATTCTCCCTTATCCACAAAATTTTGGAACTTTTCCATAAGTTTTTATCTTCTTCATTCTCTGATTTCTCCTCTTAAGCCTTAAAGTCTTAATTTTGTGCCTTTTCCCCTTGTAGATGAAACAAGTATCTTCTGGTAGTAGCCAGCTATAATTAATTTTTTTTAAGTAGTTTGAGGTTCCATATATTCTTCTTTTTTTCTCTCTTTGAGTACATACTTCATTTCTTGGTTCCATCTCTTGTCATTCTTTCATGGGGTCTCATATCCAGTTCTTCAGTCATCTTATCTGTTTTTGAATATGTTTTGTAAGTCATATCAGTTGGATTGTTTGTATCAATGCATTCCACAATAATAAATGTCATGTCAGTTTGCTCTTCCTTCTGATTGGTGCTCTGCTGTCCACAGGTTATTCAGCAGGCCTTGCATCGTCCTCCTAGCTCTGCAGCACAATACCTTCAGCAGATGTATGCAGCTCAGCAGCAGCACCTGATGTTACAGACCGCAGCTTTGCAACAGCAGCATTTGAGCCTGGCCAGTGTTCCACAGGTGAGATGGAAATCAATTAGAAAACAACTCTATGGGAATTAAACTGTAAGAGCTACCAAACATAAGAACAGGAATGTGCTTGTGTCCTAACTTAGTGGTTGCCTATAGTTTTTTTTTTAATTCCAGGGGCTGGTGACCAGTTATGGCACAGCTTTGTGCCTAGTAGTGTGAGGATGAGCTTAGTTGTTCAAGAGCAGCAGTGTTCTCTGTAGGGTTGCCACGTCCCCCCTGGCCACCAGTGGGGATGGGGAGTATGGTGGCCAGATCCTGGTTGGGAAACTTCTGAAACTTTGGGAATGGAGCCTAGGGAGGACAGGAACCTCAGCGGGGTACAATGCAATAGAATCCACTCCAAAGCATCCATTTTCTCCAGGAGAACTAATCTCTGTAGTCTAGAGATGAGCTGTAATTCCGGGGGATTCCCAAAACCCACCTGGAGGCCAGCCTCCCTAGTTGTCTACTTATTACACCCCTGGGCTTCCAACCACTATCTTGATGTTAAGTAGAAGGGGTAACAAACACACAGATATTTGTGATTTATTGATTATAAAGAGAAGGAACAGCATTCCCTATCAGCAAATATAATTCTAACCCATTTCAACCCATATCTGGATATAATAAAGTTACTCTCTCAAAATCATTATTGAACATCAGTCAGTTTTATTATTTTAATCAGAGTTGCATAATTTATTTAATCAGTTTCAATTTCATGTTGTGCTTATAGTTCTGGGTATTCTCTTACATTAATAGTTTCTTACTCTCTCGTCTTTCAACTCTAAATAATGTATAAGAGTTTTCAAATGAGAATGTTGTTGGTTTTGGATACAGAAAAAGCAAAAAATTCAGAAGGAATACTGTTACAAATAAATATACTCTGATGTAGCCTCTGGAGACAAATAGTTGGTTCAAAACATATAATTGCAAATAGAAAAGGGTGCTAGAAAATACTTTCATTGGAATATTATCAAGAAACATTACCATTAATTAAAGATTTGGAAATCCTCACATCTTATTTTGGAAGCTCATGTCTTCTGATGCAAATTGCAGTTCAGTATTTTGTACATCAGTCCTAAATTTTAATGTTGGCTGTAGACATTCTGACCAAATGTGAAAAAAGATGTTCACCCTTCAACAATACCCTGGTTTAGATATTTATTGAAACTACCATCGTGAAACACACACATATTACTTCTAGGTAGAAGTGAGTGGCTGTTTTAAGAACGTTGAGGCTATAGCTTTATAGTAGCACATTGAGTAGTAGGTAGTAGTATTATAATTCTAAATAGTGGAGTAGTTTGAACTTCAGGTCTTCTGTAGCCCTTGGGGGGAAATGCCCCCACCCTAAGAAATAAATGGGTGTCTGATGTCTGACACACATTCTAAGGGACAGCTGGAGGTTGGAACTGAATAGTTAACAGTTGCATCAGTGGCTCTTGGCTGGCCTAAGTTATCTTCATTATAGTAAAGTTGCATGTCAAGGGAGGAATTCATGCCAGTTGCCTGTCAGTGGAACACAGGTCTCGGTCACACGGGCCAGATATCGCGGGGGGGAGGCGTGGCTGTTTGCCCCGGGGCAAAATAACGTGCGGTTGTGCGATCAGACGTTCCGTGGAGGTCCCGTGGGTAGGGGGGAGGTGCCGATCACAGGACAATCCTGCGGTGCGGCAAAGAAGCGGTGCGGTGTGGCAAACGGGTTTGTTTTTTTCTGTACACCAAAGTATGCGCATGCTCCATTGGGTGCTTGTGCGCATCCATGGAGACTTGGGGAAAAAAACCCTTTTTGCAAGGGGACATGGGCGGGCGCCGGATGCCAACGGAAACGCGATCAGACACCCGCCCTTGCCCCACAGTTACCGGAAACTAGTACCTCGGAGGTACTAGTTTTTTATCCCTCATCTTTGGCGGGAAGCCTCGGGTGAGCCACGGGAGCTCTACGCTTCCCAGATGTGGTGGTGAGATCGCGCCCGGAAAATCCGCCTATCTTCCGTCTCTCTAGCATGGCTAATGTTCCGTGTGACCGCAGCCGCAGTAGATTATAAAGGTGTGTGGTTTGAGAATCATGGAATTCATTGCTTGTTTAGCAAAGGGTTGTTAACTTAGGATAACTCGTGATATAGTCTTGGCTGTATAAAAAGATATAAGTTAGGGTAACTGCACAGGTAGAGAGTCTAGTGATGGCCATTTTGGGTCTTGGGCTGCCTAGTGAATGCCATTGAGCTAGATGTTCCATTTATCATATTCAACAATATTTAAACACTTTTTGTTGCAGTGTAAATGAAACATTTGACAGATGTGCTTGCTATTTAGGCAAACCTGTCAGGTGGGAGGCAGTGTGCATCCCCCAATGGCAGTGTCACTCAGCAGTCAAGCATGTCAGAAACCTCGGTAAGTATTTTGAACAAGTTGTTTTCTTTTAAGCCAGACTTTTTTTTAGTTATCATGTTTGTTTCTGAAAGTAAACAATGTTGTCTGAGTAAATGTTTGTAAACCATTTGTGGAGCAGAAATTTTGATTTGTGACTTGATTGGCCTTTCTTCAAAATTTGAGCATTAATTTTTTTAAGTAAAACTATTTGCCCTTGAGAGGCCTTGGAGATCCTCAAACTAATATGACAACCCTCTCCCAATCATGGTTAAGAAATTAATACTTTCTGGGGGAGTTTTGGTAATTCACAGTTGGTTATTATGTATATACCAAAAAACCCCACCTATGGTTTGTTCTCATGTTTTCAAACCAGGAATCACTCTTGGTTTGGAGGAAAGAGAATAAATCATAGTTTGTGACTTGGATGTTAACCAATTGTAGCTTGCTGCAAGTGTAATTTCCAAGAACACTGTGTGGAGAAGAGGGGAAAGCAGCCAGGTGCATGAGCACAAAGATTGCAAGTAGGTTTTTCGTAATGCCACTCTACTGTTTGTTATGTGCAAATCATACTTAACTTTGTCTTATGAACTTTGAACTTTTGCAAAGTTTTGGGTCATGAATTTTGCCATAACCCTTGGGAAGGAATTTCTTAGAGGCGTTTAAAGAACAATTTTAATTTTTAATCTCCACATCTATCATTTACAATGGTAATACAAAAACAAACTGAAACATTGGGTGTTAATATTGTGCTGAATTGGTATATAAAAATTAGACTAGATTCTGAAGATATACTTGGATTCAAATTACTAGTTGGAGAACTCTACTAAAAGAATCTATATCCCTACACTTCAGCCCACCGACCCCCCCCCCCCAATTGGGTTGGTGGTGAGTTGGGCTTTTATTGCTATTTGAATGTTTTTAAATAGATAGGTACTGTAAGCTGCCTTGAGCCACGGGGAAAAGTGTGGTTTAAAACAGAATGCTTTTGCAGGGCAGGCAATGCTCAGGAACAAGAGGCTGGCTGAAGTGCCTAATTCCAAAAGAAAACTAGGAAGATTATACAACATTTTCTGTATTTAAATTCTAGAATTAATATGAAATCTCAATTTATGATCAAAGTTTTGGGTTATATCTCAGAAGATCAATGCAAGATATGTTGTAGCAGAATTTAGGATTGTTTACCTGACAGTTTAAACTTGAAAATGTATCTTATTTGTTGTTGATGGTTAAAAAAAAATCTAAGGCTGTATCTTGTGTCCTTGGGTGATCAGCAGGTAATCGTTTAAGCTATGGGCCAGAAGTATAGCTTTTAAAAAGGAAAGCTCAGGTTTGTATATTAAACAGACTATTGACTATCAGCTGCTGAAGATAGTTATGTGGGTTTACTCTGAACTGAGCCCAACTCTTTTGTGTGGCACTTAACTCCCAAGTGAGTACGCATAGGTTTGCAACCTATGACGGCCATTGAAATCGTAGGGTCAAGGCGGTCAATAAAAGCAATATTTTTGCTTCCCTAGATTAATCTTTCTGCTTCTCCTACACCTGCGCAGCTAATAAGCCGTTCACAGACCTCGAACAGTAGCAGCAGCAGTCTGACCCAACAGACCATGTTACTGGGGAGCACCTCCCCTACTCTGACTGCAAGCCAGGCTCAGATGTACCTACGGGCTCAAATGGTGAGTCTTGCATGTTTTTGCTCATATAACATTTGCTAACCTAAGTTTTATTTGTTCCTTGTGTTCTTTCTTATGGCTAGGTTTCCATTACCCATCTAAGTTTCCACTAAGCAGTTCAATTTTGTAACTCTGCAGCCAGTTTAGAAGACTAGTATATGAGGAAAAAAGAGCTTGCTTTAAAAACGCTAAGGCATTGTGCAGATTTCACAGTTTCACAGTAGGCCAACCTCAAGCTGGGGTGTGCATGAATCTGACGTTGCCAGGCTCATGCATGTTGTCTGGCTCAGGGCCAGTGTAGTGTAGTGGTTAGAAGGCTGGACTAGAATCTGGGAGATCCGGGATCTGGGAGACCCAGGATCACTCTACCGTGGAAACTCACTGGGCGACCTTGAGCTAGTCACACATTCTCAGCCTAACCTACATCACAGGATTGTTGAAAGGATTAAAAGGATAGGTGTGTGATGTCGTCTGCTTTGGGTCCCCTTTAGGGAGAATAGTAAGGTATAAATCAGGTAAATAAGTAATGTATATGCCTTGCAAATGAGTTCTTTAGATGGGGGTGGGGCTAACCTATGCAGCTGCATTTGGAAGTGGTGGCTAACCTTGAGTTTGCTTCTAACTGGCATTTTCTGTGGGAGAAAGGGTAGTGGAGAAATGAGGCTCATATCTGAGTCTGCCAACAAACTGGGTTTGTGCGCTTTCCTTCTTAATGTGAGCTTGTTGCAGAGCGTCTGCGTACAGCATAAAATTAACACCTGTTCAGAAGCAATTTTATGTCGTTGGTTTAGTGTTTGTGCTTTAATAAATACAAAGCTTTAGCAGCTGGAGCATCAGAGTCACTTTATTTTGCCATGATTCTGCTTGGGGAGGATTCATATCTACATTAAACTGACTTTTTCTGTCTGGCCACTGGAAGTTTCCTTTTTCATGCCAAATTTGCACATGCATTCAAAAACTACTTTAAAAATGGTGTTTCAGAATGTATTTTACTGTATATTTAATAGTCAGATATCCCCCCCCCACTGTGCCACAATCCCTGTCCCACATTGGTTTTGTCCACGCAGGTCCCTTGATTCCCAACATGGACTTTGTTGGTGGTCCTTTCTTTCTCGACACCTGAAAAGTTGGTCGGATCCAGTCTTATGTTTCTGCAAACATTGCATCATATTCTGAATTTAGATTTTAAATTGTATGATTTTATACTGTTATAATCTGTTCTGAAGCCCTATTAGGTCAAGGATATAGTTATTTCTAATATATGCCCACTGTTGAAAGGGAGAAGTTGACATTGAGAACATAAGAACATAAGAGAAGTCATGTTGGATCAGGCCAATGGCCCATCCAGTCCAGCTCTGTGTCACACAGTAGCCAAAACATAGGTATCATCAGGAGGTCCATCAGCAGGGCCAGAACTCCAGAAGCCCTCCCACTGTTGCCCCCTAAGCACCAAGAATACAGAGTACCACTGCCCCAGACAGAGTGTTCCCTCTATAGCTTGTGGCTAATATGTTTATCCAATTCCAGAAGTATAACAAAGTTTAGACAAAATGTAGACAAAGGCCTGTATCCAGTGGATCATTTCAGGAGATGGAAATATTTCTGTCCATGGAACATGGTTTTCTTACCTCTTCCTTTCATTGTACCCACAAGCGCCCTCTGAAATGCTGTTCCTGAGGGACCCCTGTTCCCAAGGAGCAGCATTTCAGGGAGTATTTTGGTCTGTAGCCACAGGGTGAGAGAATTGTGTTCTATGGGTGGAAAGTTTTCCCTGTTTGAAAACAGTCCATTAGATCCAAGCCAAAACTTTTTGCAGTTTGCTGAAAATCCACAGTTCAGTATGAGCAGTCTCTTTCCAGTTTCCCTTTATGTCATCCATCCATTGCAAACTGTAGCTGCATGAGACACTGGCCAAATTCAGATGTCATGATAAACCTCCTTTTGTGAATGATGGGCATGAACCTGTGTTCATTTGCTCCCTGCATTTCCCCCTCGCTTGCAGAGCATGACTGCAAGCTTCCTGGTTTGTGAAGGCTTGAAATCAAACTTAGTTAGCTACAATATCTGAATGCATAACCACAGATATATGCTATTGTTTTGTGTCTCAAGAAGCATATTAAAGAACCAGTTTCATCTCTGTAAACAGTCTTGAAATCTAGTTGGCTGTGGCATTCGAACTGACCTCTACAGAGATGTGGAGCAGAATTTTTTTCCAGTGCTTTATTTGTTCATGCAAAAATAGCCATTTCTGAAAACGTAATTGTTTTGCAGAACTAATAATGAATGGATGCCATTGCTAATAGAATATTAGGCAAGCTTGGGCAGTTTCAAAGAGTAATTAATGTTTTCGGGAGATTCTGCCTAGGCTTTGGGTGAGTGAGTGCATGCATGTTTTATTGATTAGGAAATTGTGAGGGTGGAGGGTAAAATCACAAATACATATAATCACATTTAAAAATTAAGTGGTGAATTTGCTTGATTGGCTGTGTAGGTCAAATAAAAACAAAGCTGAAGTTCTTATTTGATTCTTTGCTTGTGTTCTGGAAGGGACATTGTAATCACCAGTCTGATATGGAACTAACAGGTAATGCAAGTGAAGCTACAGGAAGTGTCAGGGACCTCCATAAAAGAGAACTAAATTTCACTGAAATAGATGAGTGAACAACCAAAACTCTGTACAACTCTGGTTGTACTAAAAGTAATGTCTAAACAGTCACCACTGCCTTTCTTTCTTAAATTTAAACAATGTAAGACAAGCGTGTGTGTGTATGTGTATATATATATCACATTTAAATGTTATAAGAATTGTCCCAATAAACATAATTTCCTTATACAGTATTGAATTTGTTTGCATATAATGTTTAGCCACATTTTATTTGGCTTTTCTGTAATCAAGTATTTTGCTTCCAGTATTTGTTACTATAAAGATATAAAATTAACACAAGATAATTTAAAAATTGTTTACTAAATATAAGTCAAAATAAACATGCTACATCAGACTGTGCTCTATTTGGAGCATCAGAAAATTTCCCAATTCTCACGAAGAGAACTGTGTTTCTCGAAAGCTTATGCTACAATAAAGTTTGTTAGTCTTAAAGGTGCTACTGGGCTTTTTACATATTTTCTGGAAAGCACATATCACCCGATGGAAGCCTTTGAAGGTGTTGTGTAAAATGCATTGGTATGACATTGTGAAGATGCTTGTTCTGTTGGGGTTGTCTGATTGTTTTGTGGATATGAGAACTGTCACATGCTGACTTGAAAAGATTGGGGGAACCCTGGCATATGTCCTCTGGTAACTTCCACTGATGCCAGCAGCGGAGCACGTTTTTTTTTGCCTTCCTCTCGCACTGCAGCTCAAAATGTCCCCTGAACATTTTGGTTCAGGGTACTCCTGGGCGTTCAGGGAGTCTCAGCAACAGCATGAGGGTGGAGTCTGATGTCTGTAGCAGGAGAGGGAACTGGTGAAATTTGAATGTGAGGGACAGCAACAGAAATAGCAGGAAATGTTTTGGGAGGAGTGCATCCCTGAATTTGTGGTTTCTTACACATGGTATGTGTAGCTGGATCTACTTTCTCTTAACACCTTGATAGGGCTATTAGTTGCATCTCTCTGCCTATGGTTGTGCCTCAAATCGAGTAGATCATGTAGGACCTATGGCTCTGTTTAAGCCTTGGACCACTGTATTGCAAACCAAGCCTCACAGACCTATTTGAATGCATTCCTAACCACCAGAATGTGTCTCTTCTCAGGGCCAGGTGCTGTCTGCCTTCATATTCCTCCCCTAGCCAAGGCTGCTCATGCCTGTTGTGCCACCCCTTAGCAGAGTTCTGTGGTCTCACTGGGGTCTATACCTGCAGCCTCACAAAAGAAGAAAAGGCCCTGTTTTTAATCTTGCATTAGAGTATGGATAGATCAATTTGTTGCTTTCCTATTTCCCTAGTTCTTTTCACCTGACTGAATCTTTACTTTTTCTTATTTATTTTTTCTAAACAGTACCATTTTTCAGGGCCCCGCCCTCCCCCTTTCCCCTGTATTCTGTGTTTTATATTATTGATCACTCTTTTTTCTGGCTGAATCTGTTGCTCTTAAAGTGGTCCTATCTACAGTGTTGTAAGAGTCCAGTTCAAGATAGAAATGGATTATCATTTACCTCATGATCACCACTTTGTGTGGAGCACTGATTGTTTTTCAGGTTTATCTACTAAGGTCGGGTGGAGACATAACATTAGACCGGCTCTTACCCATGACTTAGCAGGCTGCAGACTCCCCCTCCTCTTTATTTTGACACAAATTCCCCCTCAGCCATGGTTAAGCTTCCCACCAAGAATGGAAACAACCATGATCAAGGCTAACCAAAATATCTCTTGCACTTTCATTAACGCTGAATAATGCACTTTCAATCAACTTTGGACTGAAAGTGCATTTTATAGGGTTGCCAGCCTCCAGGTAGAGATCTCCGGGAATTAGAACTGATCTCCAGGTGATAGGGAGAGATCTGTTCCCCTGGATAGGGAGAGATCTGTTCCCCTGGAGAAAATGGCTGCTTCAGAGGATGAACTCTATGGCATGATACCCCTCCCCTCCATAGATCCTGCCCTCCCCAGGCTCTACCCCCAAAGTCTCCAGGTATTTCCCAACCCAGAGCTGGCAACCCTAGTTATTCAACATGTGCAGAGGTGCCCCTGATCAGGATTTGAAGAAGTAGATCTGGTTTCAGTTCTTGGCTACAAGGATTGGAACCTGGTTAGCCTTAAGCATGTTGACACTGGTACCAGTTAAATGCAGTTAAGTCAGATAAGGAAATTGCACCTAAGGAAGATGTCTGTGCGTTCCCTCACCTCAGTCCTGCAAATGGCTTTTGAGGCTGTGATTAAGAGGCCCAGGACAGAATTTCTGAAGTGGCAATTGTGCATCTTGTTTTGTGGGAAAGGGCTTGGCTGCTGGTTCAGGTTCTACCAGTCAGTGAGTGTCAGGAATCACTCTGATGCAGATGACCAATTCCTAGCCTTGAATAATTCTGCTGCACCTGCACAGCAGGGAGAAGCGTAGAACTTCTGTGATCACTGCAGTGCTGAGTTGGACAACCCAGGTCTGATATTTTTCCCTCTCCAGATAAAACTGAGTCAAGAGTCGGTCGTTGTGCAAACAGGTTCCTGGAATATATGGAATGTATATTTAAGATAGTGGCCTGAGCAAAATTGGCTTCTAAGTGGAATGCTCATTCCTAGCTACAGCTAGGAGTGCCTTTATCAGCTTTCACTAGCCAGTTGTAGCCTTTGCCGGGCAGAAAGTATCTGGCAATTATGGTGCATGCTTTAGGTGGGGCTACCCTTGAAAAGTGCTCAGAAACCTAATTTGGTCCAGAATGCTGCTGCCAGTCCTTCCAATCTTGGCCTGGCTACCCTGGCTCCCAATTTGTTCCCAGGCCCAATTCAAGGTGCTGGCATTGACCTTTAAAGCCCTGTGTGGCGTGGGACCAGCATGCCTGAAGGACTGCCTAATCTCATACTTGACCTTTACTTTCAAATACAAATAGAGCAGAGCACTCTTAAGTTGTTATATGGAAGAATACAATGGAAGAGGTTGTTTGCAAAAAATTACATTGTTGAGCCACTCAGAAGTTGCATTGCTTGTTCTGAGGCATTACAGCAAAGGCTTGCAACTTTAAAAAAAGGAGTTGAAGAGATAAATGGCATTGTTGTACGTCTAAATGGAAAACTTTTGTCTTAAGCTTGGTTCGTTGTAACAGGAAAATTGCTTGTATAATTTGAAACCTGTCCATTTGTCCATTGGTATATGTGCATTCATTGTCCAAAGTAGCTTCTTTAATTTTCTTTCTACTGCCTTCACAGCTGATTTTTACACCTGCTACCACTGTGGCGGCTGTCCAGTCTGACATCCCTGTTGTCTCATCGTCCTCTTCGTTCCCCTGTCAGTCTGCAGCTACTCAGGTGAGCTTGCTTGGATTTTGTGTGTGCGTGTATCCATTTCACTGTGAACTGTTGCAAGAAATCGGCACGCAGTTCTTCTCCTTGTGTGTATTATGTTTTATGGTCTATCAAAATATGATCCTGCTGCATACACCGGGAAAACTGATCCCCCACAAAGGATGCCCTTGTTTTTAATTCTAAAATGATACAGCAACCTTAGAATCTTGCCAGAGTACCGAAGTAGCTACTTAAACTATTCTAGAATAATGTATACTATTAGAAGCTCTCTTATAGGCAGCATTGTAGAGAGGTGCATGACTGCATCTCAGATTCCAATTAATGAGAGGTACATTCCTTGGCTTGCCAGCGACGCTGTGCTTTTGAAACACCTGTTTTCAAAAATCTGCAATACAAGTTTGCACATTTTGATAAATCCTCTGTAGCAGTTTTTCTCAAACTGGGGCCTGGGGATCCTGGTGGGTGGAGTCAACAACCATTTTCCAAAGGGTCTACTTTTGTAAGGATAGAAGAGTAAGAGGATAGAGAGTGAGTCCTGCTTATCTGACTAATGCAAAGATGAAACCCTCTCAGTTTCCCAGAAATTTAGGGGCAGGGATCCTCTGCTTCTGTGGAAAGGGACGGAATTGGCTTCCAGCTCTTTTAAAGAGTGGGAGCTAGTCGAGCTGCTGCTACGTCCAGTCACATAGCTTCCAAGCCACCTCAGAAGAACAGCCAGTCAGGAAACATACTGATCCAGTAGTTTATTCTTTGGAACTCTTATTGGCTGAGTGGCACCAAGGTGGTATAGTCCTAATGCAGTCATCATAGAACTGGAACTCTGTTTTCGATTGTAGAGGATTTTATCATACAGAGACACCACTCTTCATCATATGACTATTTCAATACCAGAAGTTCAGGTTTTGTGTGACACTGGTCTTTTTTCTACCTTGTTTCTTTTAGCAGCTGTGAAAGTTTTTCCGAGCCACATACTTATTCTTTCAAAAACACTTTGGAAGAAATGTGGTATTTTCTGTGAAGAAAAACACTCAGTAAAGTTCTGCAAGTTTTGAATATGGCCGTTCTGTACCCCGGATCTATTGCTTTTAACCAATCATTGATTTTGATCCTTTATGTATTCTGGAAAGGAAGTTCCATTACAGTGAATGGCACATTTCTAAGTAGTTACATTTTAGATCAGAGTGTATGTGTTTACATACATTTGCACATATTCTTCCATATTCAACACAAAATTATTCACATAAAAATTGGTCCTTAGTGCTGATGACTAAAAAAAATATCTGCATTTCAGGGCTGTGTCTTCCTGAAATTTCTTAACGTGAACTCATAAGGGACAATACAGTAATGATGTGGTGCTCTTTTCCTTTAGGAGAAATATTGTAATATAAAAAGAACGGAGGGCATTCACATACTTCCTATCTCTTTATTTCCATTTGATCACATAAGGCTATAATTGGTGCTTCTACATATTAAAGAGGTAGGACTGTGCGATCTAAGAAGACTGCACATAATTGGCACAATGCTTCAGTGCATGGTTGGAGCAGAGGTGAAGTGTAGCATATCTATAATTTGTAGTAGTGAAATAACACTCGTTCAGCACATTGCTATAGGAAGGAGTCCTGCAGCTTCTACCATCAGTATGATATAATGGTTATGTTACATGAGATCCTGATTCAGATCACCACGGTGCCATGAAATTATTTGTTTATTTAAAACATTTATAGTGCTGCCTTTCCACCAGATAGGGTCTCCAAGCTTGCGAACATCACAGCTTTAAAACAGCATTTAAAATGTATATGTAAAGTATTTATCAATGCCATTAAAAATATAGACGTACAAACACAATTAGGGAGGACGGCCAATAAGGGTTTACTGGCGGTACGCCAAACGAAAAAAAAGTCTCCAACTTTTACTGGAAGACAGTGGCCAAGGGAGACAGATGGATGTCTCTGTGGAGGGAGTTCCAAAGTTTCAGGGCCACAACCAAGAAGGCCCCTTCCTTGGCTTGCCCACCCACTTAGCCTCAGATGTCGGGGGCATCCAAAGCAAGGCTGAAGATGACTTGGGCGATTCTGAGCTTGTTACGGTCTCTCAGCCTGGTTTGCGTGAGAGGTTGTTGTGGGAATAAAATAGGGGAGTGCAGAAAAAAGTACACACACACACCCCCCGGAGCTTCTTGAAGGGCAGGATAAAAAAAATACAGTGCTAGATGTGTGTAAAATGCCATCAAGTAGCAACTGATTTATGGCAATCCGATAGGGTTTTCAAGGGAAGTTATTAGGCAGAGGTGGTTTGCCTTGCCTTCCTCTCTCATCCAAGTACCGACCCTGCTTCGCTTCCGAGATCTGACAGATCATTCCACATCCACATATCTGGATAGTCTTAATGAAACTTATCCCAAACTGTAATAAAATGGCTTTAAATCCACTTATGTTGTTCATTTACCCTGGCTCGTCTTGCCTATTACATTTCTATATTAATCCAAGAGAAAACAAAAATTGGCATTAGTGTAATTCCACATGTCATACTCAGTCTACATGTCAAACATTTTCTTCTTTCCATTATTCTAAAATAGATGAACTTAGATTTTGCTGTCATTTGCAGTATTTAAGTAAATCTGAGTAGGCAGGAGAAGAATTTTTATGGTTTGTTTGAGGGACTGGCCAATTTTGCAGAAGTCTACATTTGTTTTTTTGTTTTTAAACAAACCTATTTTAACATTTGGAGTGAAGGTTGGTGAAGCACTGGAGATTCAGCATATGGATACCATTACAGGTCACTGTGTGAACCAAGATACTCTGTCCTCCTCCTTACTTTGCTTCATTAGTAAGATAGGATTCAAGACTGTTTTAATAGTTATTCTTGGGGAAATGTGCATATTGGTGAATCTGAGATTTCATTATTCTCCTTAACAATTAAGGTGGTAAGAATTACAGTGGTTTTGCTCCACAGAAAGGTACAAGCAGATGTTCAAGAAGTTCAGTAAGAGTTTGTCATCCAAATTTGAATGATTTGTTCCAGTATGGGAAAGGAAGATAGAAGTTTTGAGGCAGAAAGGAGTGGGCATATTGCTTGATACTTATTAGTGAGATGACATTGACGGTCAGGTTACAAGAATGGTCTAGGTCTGGAACAATTGAGTCCAAAAGGGGTGTGTGTGTCTGTTACATGGATAATTTCCCCCCTCATTGATCATATCTACATATGAATTAATAAACAAATCAGTAACAGTGTGTGTCTGTTACATGGATAATTTCCACCCTCATTGATCATATCTACATATGAATTAATAAACAAATCATATCTACATATGAATTAATAAACAAATCAGTAACAGTTGACATTTGTATTTTTTTATTGATGACTTTGCCCAGCTAGTGTGTTACAGCCTGTGGAATTTGATGAAGTGTTGTCTATGGAAAATGAGCTGTATGGTTGTTCCATCCAATAACTAAGGTGGCACTTCGCTGGGTGGAAGTAATGAGAGGGAGGTGTTGGCTCTTGTCTACAGATTAACAAGCAACCAGTCGAGAAGTCCGCCACGAGGCATGTTTCCCACAGCGGCATCAATCTGTTGTTTTTCAAAATACCTCATTACCTCCTGCAGAATATCTCCCACACTTGAACCCTTCTTAGCTGCTTTGTCCGCAAGCTGAGGAAGCTTCTTCAGTTCCTCATCATTCTCATTCATGAATGTGAGGTTGGGCACTTGGAAGTGGGAGGCAGCCATCCACTGGAGGATAGCCTGGAGCTCTTTGTTCTGCATACTGGTGTTGGAACTCTGGTTGTTCACTATCACCTCAGAGCCTGCAGGCACCAGTGGCTTTCCAATAGATGTTGGTCGTGGAGGTTTCTGTGATGTCATTGAATCTGGAGTTGATGCACCTTTGTTTCTTGCAGTAAAGCATGTTCCTTGTTCATCAGAGTAATCTTCCACAACAAAATCGGGACTTTTAGTCATGTACATACACAGCTTCATCACAGATTCCATCAGCTGATCGATGAATTTCTTGTTTATTTGATCCATGTTTTCAGAGTCCATCTCTGAACTGTAGTGTTTGGATGAAGACTTTCTGGTAGTCCTCTCATCACATGAATTGGGTTTCTTGCTTATCTCACACTCATCTACATTGAAACCAGCCTCTTGTAGGACCTTTGAGATTATAGAAAGGAGAGCGCTTTGTATTTCTCCTTTCTGGAATTCCTGTTGCTGTGGATCACCCTTGCAACCATGAGATCTAGAACCATGTTTGCCTCCTTTTTCAAAATACCCAAATGAAGAAGTATTTGACTCAGAAATTGGTTCCTTGTGCTGAGTTAACAGATGCTGCTGAATCATCATTAAAGCTGTCAAGATGAGGTCTTTTGCTAGAAATTCAGTTGTGGAGTTACTTTTCTCTGACCTCCTGTCATGACATCCCTTGTCTGGACCTTTGCCTCCCGATGTTTTTGAGCGTAGCATGCTAATTCCGTCTTTAATTATTGTCTCACCTACTTTCTGGGCCGATGAGTGTGGTGCCTCCTTTCCCTTTTCCCTCGCATGTAGTCCACCTTTCAGAGATGCGAAATGCATACTTTGAGAATTTGGGTCCATTGTACATCCTGTTTTTAGTAAAGAGTATACAAGACTATGCCCTTTGTCCTTAGTTTCTGACATCAGAGCATTATACATTCGTAGTACCATTGCTTCTAAAATCTCAGTTGACTTCTGAGTTCCTGTATTGAAGAGATTCTTCTTAACTGTAGTAACAAAGTCAGAGTCTGTCATTAGGACTCCAGTGACATTATGTAGATTTTTCATTGTAGAATCAATTAAGTCTGATATGACATCCCTTGTGTGCTTAAGGAACACTCTTTTCAAAACCACACAGGCTGGCAGTGGCTGCCTCTTGTGAACCTTTGTGGCCTTCACAAATGAAAATGTCATATCCTTAGCATCTTTGTTAGCATAAACCATTAGCCCTTTGTTAAAGGAGCTACCATCATTGCGAGCTGACTGTCTC